CTTATAGATTTCTCTTTTGCTTGTTTTTAGCCTAGACGGTTTGACTCAAATATTATCACGAGGCAATTAAACATAATTATTTTTCTTTCGCATACATATGTATGTACATATGTACGAATGTCGACATCAGACTAACAATGGTTAACCCATTTCAATAAAAGACCTACAGTATCGTGATGTCGTCCCTCACAGGATGTAACCTGTACTTTCGGACCACTGCACACTTCACTTAACGTCTACGTCTTTGCCATTAGGGAGTTTAGGATAAGCTTAGCCAACAAATTGGTGTCACATTTGATTGAACTACGGAAACGCTTCGGTTATCGATTTTACATATCTTTTATCGAGACGTTCATTTGTAATTTTCTATTCAACGTTCTATGCGCGACTAATTGAGCATCACGCCTCTCTCGATAAGCTAATGTTCAAACGTGAGAGCAATTGAAATCGATAGCTCACACCCAGAGGCAGGAAAATACATTAGGTGGTCATTGTACATTAACAGGGTACAACACATATTGACCAGCAGCATGACAATGTACAATATATATAAGGCTATTTATAGTACTATACTGTTCTAAAACACAATGTCCATTGTTGGTACCTCTAAGTAGTGCGAATCGATATTGATCGGTTATTAAAAGTCAACAATATCGACTGTTAACCGCTACCGTTTACAGACAAACCCTCTCACCCCTTTAACCCAAAAATACTAAATTCCAGTATTTGATATTCATAGAATAGAAGAAATAAAAATGAAGGGAAAACTGCATCTAAATCGGATAATTTAGTTATCAATTTGACCTTAAAGATATGACCCCTTTTAGTTTTGCGGAATTCACTTTGAAAGAAAGATATATTCTTCGATGTATGCTTCTTAATTTCTGGCTCACAGAGCCATATTGTAAAAACACCAACTCCACTGAACAGCAAATCCCACCGATCATAATATATCTTATGATAACATAATTCATTATTTCTCATTTTGAAGTTTTATAATACAAATAACCAGGCAATAGAAAAGCAAATCTTCAAAAATACAATTAAAATCCAAAAAGTATTTGAGTTCAAAAAAGTTCAAAATGTTTGACAATCTTTTTGAATAGTAATACACCCAATGATTTACGAAGAGAAAGGACCAAATGAGTTCGGAAAAGACATTCCTACAAAAATAGACGTGACAGACCAGCAGTGAGCAGTGAGCTTATTTCTTAAAAATATACACTTCATTGACCACGTGAAATGTTCAAACTCGACGCATTGATCGAAGAAATTTAGCATAAAAGCTTTGAAATCACAAGTATTAAATGTATTGTTGTATTTGCAATCACGATCTTCGCATTTTACACGGAGCGGTAGCCAAACTGCGTACATACTATCACACCGGAATAGCCTGACTACCGTAAAGTCGGATACCATTGTCACAAATGGCGGACACAACCGTTAATGGCTGAATGGCTTGTCACTGTTTTACACACAAACTATTTTACTCAAACCATATGCAGCAATCCTATATCTTTCGGTATATGCAAACATAAGGGCTGAATAAACGTCAAACTACGAAAAACATTTATTTAATATAATTATACGATGCAACACTACAATAATTTGAACACGAAAGCTCCTTGGGAACCTTATATTGTGATAGCTAGATATACATCGGGAAAAAATCGAGTCCTACTTGTAAAGAAAATTAGTCTCCACATAATGGTACCGTCTGATAAACTGTATGCACGCAGTTGGCTACCGCTCCGTGGTTTAGTACTCGAAGCGCTATTCACACATTGCTAGGCAAGGTGTGTCCGATTCCAGCCAATCAGAACAGAGTATTCACATAATGAACAGTGTGTGAAATATCAATAACACATACAAGGTCACTAGTTTAACAGTTGTCATGTTGATGAATGGGCTTTTCACATTGGATTTGTTCCTTTTAGATGATTTTGTAGAAAATATTTTGCAATGTTTGAAAAGAATTCATTCCACTCAGGCGTTGTTTCCTAAACTTTGCATTCCCGAGCGCGGTCATGCAAAAATTTGGAAACAACACCTTCTTGGTATGATTCAGCAAACAATACACTGAGTCCAGGGCTTAAATCCTTAAATAGATCCAGTCGTCCAGATTTCTAATCTGGACAATCAGTAATGTCCCAATATAATTGCTCATAAAACATCATATACATGTACACCTTAGATATATCTTGAGACCAAATCATAAGCACAATTTCACTAATATATTGAGGAAATCAACAGGACAACCAACAGAACAACCAACTGTCAGAATTGAACGCAATAAGTCGAAAACAATATACAATGTTTTTTGGGATTTATCTATATTTTAATCCCTTAGAAGTAATATTTGCTTCTCTGAGCCAAAACAATCTGTTGAAACTGAATGAAAAAGCCAATCAGACTGGAACAAATTTGAGCGGGCTTTTTATATTTTATTTTGAATTTCTACTGATGAATTGGAAATTCATGGCTAGGAACAATCATCGAATTAATACTGTTAACGAATTAATTCAAGCCTCAGAATTGGAAAGTTGATAAACCCCGGGCGATGAACAAACTTTTTTTTACATCAAATAACACGAAAGATCAGGGGGTTACTCTAATTGTGCTCTTAGGAGACCCGATCTCTTTAAACAATATACAGCGTAGTTTTACATAAAGAGTCGATTCTCGCGACCAATCCTTCTGTATCACGTTTTCACGTACTCACCTGCAGTATATTGGATATTCCGCAAGTGAATATGCCATACTCACCTGAGGAATATACCATATGCCGCAGGAATGGCATATTCACCCGTTTCACAAATACCGCGCAATCATGTCATGTATGTTCCGCTTAACAGATACCGGATCTGATGCGGGATTTTTCGAATATCATTTATCCTTGTTTATTTCACAAGAAAAACATGTTATTATGGAATAATCCTTGTTAATCCCCCCTGAAATGTATCAAAGTGTATTTACGTGACACAGTCTTATAATGAGAGGTAGAGGGTCGACCTCTGTATGTAGCTTTACACAAGAGCCATTCCAAGTGTTCGAGCTGAAGTATTCTCATTGTTGAGAAATGAGAATAAATAAATAAATAGCCATTGGACATGAGACTATGTTCGAAATCAAAGAAAAGTGCCACTTTACATGAGATGCGAGACCTAGACGTTAATTATCTTTAATACCGACTTTGTCCAGCCTCTCCTGTTGAATGTAAATGTAGGAAATCTATTTTTGACGAACGATATCTAAAAATGTTCTCATATCTTATAAATACATATTTTTATGACATCATTACGTAAGTATGTATCAGAACTTTATAGAGAGCGCCGGTAGATTTAATGAAATGGATAAATATCGACGAGACAGCAAGTAGCGTTTTTAGAATAATTTTCAACTTCGAGGTTTCTAATCTAGGGAAATGGGCCAGGGTATGCAAGCTTTTGAATCAATGTGGAAGTACAAAACGCCGGCTGTTTTTCTAATGTTGCCATTGGTGGAAATGTGCCGGTGTGAAAGAAATGATGGTCCCCCAGAGATTATGGTCCCATTTCTTAACGGCCCTTACTGGCCCTGATTGCGTATAAGATAATGAGGGAACGAGTTGTATTTAGGTCACCATATAAATCAATGGAGAGTAGGACCATAATTTGAGAGGACCTCCTACCCTTTTACACCGGGTTCCTTTCATCAAAAATAATCTCACCAGAAGCTCGATATTCTACATCAACCCGTACCCCTTTCTTTGTTCTTAACTGCTGCACTTCTTAGATATTCTCAACTAATCCATGATTTGAATCACCAGCTGCCAATAATGCCTTTTATCTTAACCCAGAGGAATCGTATGTATTGTTAAGAATTAATAACACATCATTTTCTGAAACGGCATCATACCCTCCTGATTATAATTTAGTGTCCATATTGTCTCTGATCATTTTCAAATATATTGCATTAGTTACTGCAGTGTCATACAATAAGGGAGTTTCTATTTAGTTGAACAAAGCTGAATAAATAGATGTCAGCATTTGTCTTAGTTGGGACAGACTGCCATTGGCTTTAATGGTAAAAACAACGTTCTGTATGTCACAGGCATAAGCATCTCTGGGTTCCTGGCAATGCTAGAAACACGGAAATATAACAACTGTGTTAAATTATATCATATCTTTTAAATTGTCACATCGCTGCTGGCCTCCATATAATAACGCCATACAAGCCACCTTAACACCATACGCCACCTTAACAGTAGACACGAGATCAACTGCGTGAGGTGCCGTGACGGTAAATGGCCTGCTGAATGACAATATTTTCAGAATGTTTCAAGATTTATCATTTTATACAATACGCGGAACATGGAAGGTCGGCCTGAACGGCCTATCACCCTACGACGTCAACATGCTTCACAATTGAAAATATTAGACTATAATGGCCTGTATAAGATTATGTACGAAAAGAGGTAATAGATCAAACGTAACAGATACACGGAAAGGGACGCAACGGATGTATGCGAGGATGTTATTGCCATTGGAAAGCATAAAGAAGGGGGTTGCTAATCAGAACTGATGGATGCTACAATGATTTATTATATTTTACTGCCAGTCGAATGGAAAATGGTGCGTTATTTTAGGTAACAGTAAAATACAATTTGTATTTACAATCATGCAAATATAAGAAGGAAAATTAGATTTACTGGATACTAGTACATGAATCACACTAAGAACGGGTGTTACTACTTTGGATCTGATCGACCTTTACAGAGAGGCAAAGAAACCTCGATGCATCGGCCATTGACAAAGGAGATATTTTGAGCTCTAATGAAAGACTCCCCAGGCAAGATATATTGTATCGAGAGGACATCAACTGAAAACACAGACAAGGGCTTTAATTAAGGATACACAATTTAGCAAAACAATATTTATTGTTGATATTAATCTTGTGATAAACATCTATAAGCATAAAAATAGTTTGTTCGGAAGTGCACTAACAAATGAACAGGTTATCTAGAAACATCGAATCGCCTACAATCTTTGAATATGTTTTTACATCAAAAAGGATTTGAAACGAATTTCGAATAACACCATGTATAGATTTTGCGTAATCATTATTACGCCCTAGGAATATATTTGACTTGTCGACGTCGTGTGAGCCTGATAATTATAACATAATTGAATTAGCTTAATGGGATAGGAAAATGGATTTCGCAAAACAACTCCAGCGACTTTTGACAATTGGGAACTCAACATTAGACCCACCAAGCAGAGAGGATAATAACTCATACTCGAAGCTTCTCAAAATCTCGCTCGCTAATGTACTTAAGAATTTAGGCGATAAATCGGCAAATAACGAGACGTCAAAGCTACAAGAGGGTAATGGAAAACCCCACCAACAATTCACAATTGAGGACACCGTTCTTATTGTAGCTTATATAATTATCGTTATCGTTTCTTTATTCGGCAATATGCTTGTATGTTATGTCATAATGAAAAATAAACGCATGCGCACAGTGACAAATATGATGATCATGAATTTAGCCGCTGCTGATATCACAATAACAATTTTAAACATTCCCTTCAATATTGCACGACATGTCTATGACGAATGGCCTTTTGGCAACGCCATGTGCAAAGTCGTGAACTTTAGTCTGATGGTATCTGTGTATGTATCGACATTCACTCTGACGAGCATAGCCTTAGACAGACATCAGGTTATTATGTATCCACTAAAGAGTCGAATATCACTTTTACAAGGGTTGCTGATCATAATTGGGATTTGGACAATAGCTTGTATACTGGCTCTTCCTTTCGCTTTATTTGCTGAAGTGGAGGCAACTAGTTTCATCATATACAAAGTAGATAGATGTAAATTAAATTACCCGGAGCCGTCGGTGGAATTTGAACAGTATCTGACACTATTGACTATTTTTGCGCAGTATTGCCTTCCCCTGTGCATAATAACAATCGCGTATAGCAGAATCGCTTATAAATTGTACAACCGTCGAACCCTTGGGGACATGACGGATGATCAACATGTGTATCAAACTAAAGTAAAAAAGAAAACGATCAAAATGTTAATCATGGTCGTTCTGATATTTGCCCTTTGTTGGATGCCCTTGAACTTATACCATATCCTAACTGACTTCCATCACGACAATTACAGATTCCGACACAATAGTACAGCGTTCTTTGTGTGCCATTGGATTGCGATGAGCAGCGTAGGCTACAATCCTTTTATCTATTGTTGGTTAAATGACACGTTCAGAGCTGAAGTAAAGTCACGATTCAACATCTGCATGGATGACAAAATTAAAAAGACACATCCATGTGTTGAAGGCGACAGTGCTTTGGTTCGGCCAAGGTCGCGCTTGTACAAAGGGTCAAGGTCATTTGGTAGCGACAATTTTATGACAAAGAGGACATCAGACCCGCGATCTGACATAAATGCCCGCGAAACACTTATCAGAGCATGCGCCAACAGTCCTCGGCTCGCTGACTTGTATGGAATATTTGGCGAAAAAGAAAACGTTGACGTTCTTCGTTGTTCTATTATTCCTTCGCGACCACCTGGTATTTGTCGTTCGTTGACGTCATGCCGAGATGAACACTTTGCCGCCGATATGAGGTCAAGCCATTTGTAATCATATGATGATACCAAGATACAGCTAGGGGCAAACCATCTATAAAATATATAATGATGACAAAATTGCTGAAGATTTAGTGGTTATATGTATATGACATCGTCAATAATGATTGCTTCATATTTAAAGATTATTCATAAGTGACGTCAATAATGATTGCTAAATATTTAAAGTTGATTCATATGTGAGTCAATAATGATTGCCAAATACTCGTATTTAAGGTTAATTCGTATGTGACGTCAATAATAATTGCTAAAAATCAAAAAAATATTCATATGTGGCGTGAATAACGATTGCTGTATATCTTTAAGTTTATTCATATAACGTCAATAATGATTGCTAAATACTCGTATATAAAGTTTATTCATATGTGATGTGAATCATTCTTGGTCCAAGGGTTCACTTCTTTCCATTAAATCGAGCAATGAATCAAACCCTTCGAATGAAGGATGGATGTGAATAATGATGACAGCATTCGATTAAGGTCAACGTGTTGGCATCTTGAAACCAACAAGGCTTTTTATATCTGAGATCCAATCATTTATACATGTTATATGGATTATTCATGCCGACATGGTGACAGATCTGAAGTCAACATATGCTTGATTAAAAGAAATGCAAGATTGGAACGCCCTGAACGCATGTTACACAAGATACAAGATCAAGAGGGTCACACGAGACAGCAAGTAGCGTTTTTAGAATAATTTTCAACTTCGAGGTTTCTAATCTAGGGAAATGGGTCAGGGTATGCAAGCTTTTGAATCAATGTGGAAGTACAAAACGCCGGCTGTTTTTCTAATGTTGCCATTGGTGGAAATATGCTGATTCATCATGTTGATGAATGATGGAGCAATCTAACAAGAAGTCGTATCGACAAAATGATTTCAGGTCTAGTATGGGGGCCTAACGACAAGTATATTATTTCATTCCTGAAAATCCACCATTAGTTCCAAGTTTATTTGTTTATACTTTACGTTATAAGGTACACACTCAGTTTCTGACACACATTTAAAAGTAATATCAGAATGTGGCGACAGAATTGTGAAATGCCATACCTGATGATAATAAATATAGTAAAACAATAATTATTTGGTAAAATAACCCATTCAAATGACCATAATGAATAGTACGCCTTTTTTTATAGCAAATACGAATGCACATTTTGTTTACATTGAGCGTTTTTGTTGTATTCATTGTGCCTAATGCTGTGCAAATGAAATTACATTTGGTAAATGAGATTTATTTGATATTATTCATAAATCATAATATTCATAAAAATCTCAAATAGGCAATCAATTTATATTGTAATTTAATTAGATCTGTTCGTAAGCTTAACCTTGTGGAGATTCGACTTAGGTCGCTCCATGTAACTTATTTTAAAGAGAAATCACGTCGAAAGCGTGAATAGTATTTGTTCTATCATTTATTGTCTAAAGCGTTTCCATAAACTTTAGATACAAATGCTCTTCATTGTGACTGCGTGATTGCAGATTGGACATTATGTTGGTGGTACTATATTGTAAAAATGTTAATTTCAGTCTAAGAAAATAACATCTCTCAAAAAATCTTTACTTTCTTGACACCCTGTAAAGGTAGCAAATTCGAACTACTAGGCTAGGCCCATCTTATTTTTTACGGATTTCTGAATGAATTACTCAGATGCGAGTAGGTAGTTACCAGTTTCGCCACCAGGTGGCTGATTCGGGGGAATTAACACGGCAGGGTATTACAAAATTCCCTTAAACTTCAATATGCATAAGTTTTAGTGGTTCACTTTTCATATTACCCTTATGTATCTGATAGTTATACAAATTAAAATATGTCCAGTAAAAGAAAAGATTATCTGCCCAACACAAGAAAAGATATTTCACTTTTTGTGGTTTTACAACATGGGGTCTATGGGGAATCTCCCCGACCTAGAAGTCACATTTTCAAAGAAAATTAAAAGTTGATAAACTCTTTTCAAAACCACATTTCTAAATGTAATTTTACATGTAGATTCCAAATATGACATCAGATTGACTAAATTGTGAATTTTTGATGGCGTAATTCAAGATTATTTCTACTCGCATCTGGGATATTGGTATTTTGTTATTTAATTTGTGATGAACTCATTATTTCCAATTGGCTACAAGATCGGAATGGCTATTCTCGAAGGCTCATCAACAACGCATTAATTTCCGACGTGTTTTGAATGAGTAGTAGATTCAAGAATCGTTAGAACTATTTGTTGAAATGAGGTCAATAACTATTTCCAGCTTTAAAACAATTGTCTTATCCCAAAAGTCGTATCTAATGTTCAAACACAGAAGGCTTTCAAGACTCGGCCCGATGGGAAATCAGGTGTGGCATTTAGGTAAATGAATAGTATGAAATGGAAGTTAAATCGAATTCGAACTGTAAAGCGCAGTGACCCCGATAGAGCTAGAGAATAATGTCATGTCAAATAAACTACTCTACAGGGTGGGGCAAAGACCGATACCCAAGTTAAAGATGAATATTATAAGTTATTCAATGATTCGAGTGAAATACAGAAAATATTCTTCCCGAGAAGGTCGTATTTCACGATGCGCTAGCAGAGTGAAATACAGACGTTCAAGGGAAGAATATTTTCTGTATTTCACAAGAAATCATTGAATAACGATTTTATTCCATGATTACCCATATGAAACTCGCCTAAATCAAGTCCGTTGGCTCGGGGCCGGAGAAACAGATCAACCTTCTCACCTCAGAGATTTTTAATCGATATTCCTTCAAAATCTTTATGGCCTTGTTGTTTGCTTTTTGTTTGCGTGTTTTATCTTAAAATTATTAATTGTGGTGATCACAGTATACGTTTCTGATATTTGAATCAGATATTTATAGCAAAATTCAAAGATAAGCATGCGTTGGTGTAAAGTAATCGCCATTGATTTTTTTCAGTAACAGTCATATCCTGGATGGAAATCTGGGGCGTTGGGATACTGGACCGTATCCCAACGCTGACGTCATTGACACTGGAAAGTGCGTGTAAATACAGAATATATTTAAGTCACGTGGACTAATCAGATTGCAGGGAATTTCACCATCATGGAATAATGTATGATATATTTTAAACCGTGTATTGTGACATCATCATAAAGATTAATCATTTTCTAACAATATGACACCCTCCAATTGAAAAACCCGTGGAGTTAGAGGCTATGGGGTATTGCAGGGGTATTGTTTTTTGGCCCATTCTTTCGTCTTGACAACGGGTGGAAAGAGAATAAATTGCAATGGCTTGCCATAACTCACAAATAAACTCACTGTTAAAATAAAAGGATGTCATCTTTCTTTCCAGCTTATTTATGAATGCAACAGATTTACGTAAACAAGTCCTCAGTATCCTATACATACATAAACAGAAATTGTGTCCAACAACAATGTCAGTCATAATCCTATTTTACCATTATAATATTCCCATCCGAAACAACAAAACCATGTACGAGGATCGTTCAATAAACAATTATATAAATCCTCTAATTTCTTATAGCCCAAAGGTTTAAATGAGACCTATCGCGATAGGGATTAGGGATATTGCCCAAATAAAAATCGGGCTGTCAAATTCCTGACCTTGGGAGCAACCTAGTCAGTCAAAAAACTGTGAGCAAAAATAATTCCTTAGCTTGATATACATGAAAATGAGAGCATTTCTGGAAATTGATCGACCCTGGTACAATAAGTGGAGTGATATGAACTTGAACTGTAACCCTTGGATATGGCTTTCCAAGCATTTGAAACAAACGATTGATATATCATTGATACAATATGCTATTGAAATAAACAACATCTAACCATGGCTTTGGGATAATACTGTATAATTATCTTTAACCGTTTCCGGCATTCATTTGGATCATAATAGATGTCTCATGAAATTATAATCGACTGGAGACTACCACCGACAGGATCACATTCATTATGCCATCTATCATATTTTGAAAAAATATTTAGAAAAAATTACTGTTTTTACCATTAATGTCTTCTCTGAAAAATACCTCAAAATGATTAACCTGGTTACGCTGACACATTAAAATCTTGTGTTTGGCAACAAGTGTGTTGTGTAGGAAGATAATATTGATCTCAACAAGATTTTTGACAAATTGCATTTAAGATAGAACAGTCGCAATTTACTTAGAAGAGTGCTTTGCTTACTAATTTTGAGGAATTAGAAAGTATACAAAAGTCTATTAGCCTGGATACAGTATATACAGGGTGGGCCAAAAAACGCCACTATAAAAGACACTATAACTTTTTTATTTTCCAACCTACATACCCCAAATTTTGCAGTTATATACTGTATAAGTGGTATTTTATCCGAGTGGTTAATTTTCCGAATGGTCAAATTTCATCATTTTCCTCATTTTAATTTTCCTAATGACAAGAAACCTCCCATTGGATAACATTATGAAGACAATATTTCCGACATTTAATTTTCCGAACCTGGCAAAAATTAGGAAATGGGCAAATTAAATGATTAGGCAAAATTACCACTTATACAGTAGTGCCAAGGGTTCTTAGTAATAATATAATGTAACGAGTCCTTCAACTGGGATTATATTTGATCTAAAAAGAGGAGTTCAATTGGTCCGCCACCCCATTTGATGATAGATTTTAGTTTTAGTCGCCTTGCTGATATAGCAGTATCAATGAAATGTTAGCTATATTTTTTTCAATGTGTCTTAATTGCCAGCTTTAGTTAAGCAATTTTTTTAGATCGGGTGCCTTCATACCATCTCCTGGAGACCTCCCCATGCCCTATACTCACTTGGGTTTGAATAAAGGCTATTAGCTTGCGGTCATCAGGGCGTATCAGTTTAGGAACATTATGCAAATTATGCTTATTTCTCATGGCACACCACATGTTTAAGTGAGACGCTGGTGACATATTTTATTCAAGTAAAAGTGTATAATTCATGATCAATGGCTAGATAACAACCTCAAGTTTCATTTGCTATGTGAATTATGATTTTGTATCAAAAATTAAAAAAGTTATAGCATTTTGAAAAAAGTGGCGTTTTTTGGCCCACCCTGTATATACAAGAATGAATACCTAAGTCCATTATTTGGATAATAATCACAGACTGGTATCGAAAGATTTGTCCGCTGTGACGGAGCATGCT